GCATACTTTTTAATTAAATGGTTGTTAAAAATGAAAGGTTGTTGATCTATCAAACTACTTTTCAAATAGACCCCAAAATAGTCAATTTGTGGGGGAGCCACAACATACACAAAATAACAATCAATACCGTATTACCCAAGATTTAAGACGTTTGGATAATGAAACACTTTTGCTCAAAAATCTAGTTGAAAGTTTTCTTAAAGATCATGTTTTTGTGAGTTTCATATATACTAATCCTTTAGAAAGTTAGGTAAGATTATATATTGAAATCTATGGCATGTTGAAAAAAGTAATTGCATGTTTTGAGATAATCAAAATTTGTTTTTGGGTTTATCATTGCAAATAAAATATTATTTCGTTTTTTTTTTATTTCTTCTTTCAACAGGCATTTTTCCTATTAAAAAGAATGAAGGAAAACAAAAAGATTCTCTTGTTTTGATGCATGTGTTTGTTCGTTTTGATAATGTTTAAATGATATGGTTCTTGTCTATAATATGTGAATGATGTTCATCATTCTTGTCTTCAACATTGTCAGGCTTAAAAGTCCTTTCAGCTCCACAAATCGTAGGTGTGTTGGTCTATTGCATTTTAGAGCTTTTTTGTCAGTACTACAAAGTTGATTTTTTCTTTTCTCGATACGTTTTTGATAAATATGATTTCCGCTTCATTTCCTATCCTTCTGGTTACTTCCTCGTTTGACATTCTTTGAGTCCATGATATTCATAAGACCAAAAATTCCAGCCAATTTATTCTAATTCACTTGTTTTAGTGTCCACGCTTTCAACTCGTAAAGAAGAGTAGAGAACACGTAATACCGAAGCATCATGAGGAATGCTCTTCATGTGGAGGTCTTGGGTAATAGAACCCCAACATGGTTTGCTAACCGAATTCAAAACTTAGGACAGCGCATTGTCGCTATATTCCTGTTATTTTAATGTGGCTTATCCGGCGGTGCTCAAGGGGTTGGGCCCTACGTGCCCGGGTTCTTGGGGTTTTTGTTAGTTTTTTTATTGGCTTGCGCCGGTTTCTGTTAGTATTTTTTTTATTTTTTTGGAGGCCGAGGCCGATTTTTTGTGTTTTTTAATTTTTTTTTGTAGGTAGCTCTAAAACAAAAATCAAAATTAGTACCATATCTATATCATAACATTGAAAAATATATAAAAATATGAAACAATATAACAATATAGAGTTTGTCTTCTTTAAGGCAACCGGGCTCATGTTGTATTTTTTGCGATTGTCTACAGTGTTTTGAGCTACGAACTGTCTTCAGTGTTGTATTTTTGCGATTGTCTACAGTGTTTTGAGCTACGAACTGTCTTCAGTGTGAGTTGTTGTTTTTTGAAGTGTTTTCTCTCTGGTGTTTTATTTTTTCTCTGGTGTGATTGTTGATTTTCTCTCTAGCATTATCGTTTTAGTCTACTATTTGTTGTTTGGGTCTTTTGTGCTTCCATTTGTGGAAAGCGTCGTACCTCATTATCTCTCACAGTATGTGACTGGGGTGGTTCTCTATCACCGCGAACTTTGTCCTAGCTTTCTTTATCACGCGTGTCCGTAAACTTTTGTCTTATTCTTAAGTCTTTTTTTCATTGTGTCAGTAACTCTGATTTGTTGTAATTCTCTAAAGAGGAATCTTTCTGCTACGTATTTCGGTACGTTGACTGCTTCTCTTAGGGTGGTAATTTCGGCGTCCTTTTCTTTAAGCAGGGTTCTTAAAGTCTGTAGTATGGACTTTTCATCCTTATTACTCCTCTGCCTAAGTCTTTTTGTCGTTAGCCGTTTTTCTTTCGGTATGTCGTCGTCAGTGGAGATATTTTAGGTTCCGCGGTCTCCCTCCGCGCGGTCTGTTGTCCGCTTCCTTTTGTTCTTAGGACGTTTCAAGTACCCGTCGGCGATGCTATCATCTATTGGCAATTCTTTAAAGATTTCATAGTTTGTTCTAGTGGAGTTTTCTCTCACTGCAACCATAAATATACCCCGTATTGAATCTGAGAGTTCTTTAAATACCTCTTCACTGTAGACATTGAAGAGTAGTGGGAACCGCACGCAACCCTGGCGGACTCCTCTCTGTATTTTGATATCTCGGATTTTTCGGTTGGCAACTCTTACCTTGGCAGTTTAAGTCCAATATAGATTAGATGTAATTTTCATATTATGTATATATGAAGTGAGAATGCAGGCTCTTTAGACCCATAGCTTATGCTTAATATATCTCGTAAAATCGTAAAAAACAAATTAATTATTTATTTGTTATTTTTAACTTTGTATTTTATCATCGGTTTATATGAGACATATTTTGAAAGTTTGTTATTATTTTGTAAAGACATTTTTTTTACAGAATCGAAAACTTTCTGGAAGTCAACCAGCCGCGCTATAAATAGAAGTTGATCATATTCCGGTCTTCTTTTATTTAATCAATATTTGGTTAAAAATAAAACTCATATGAGCGTTTTATATTAATTATACTAATTATAAATGGGCCATTCGTTTTTAAACTTCTGACACAGCTACCAAATAAGAGTTGATCTGTTTCCATAATTGATATCAATTAAGTTTTATTATCATTGTTATGATAGGCTAATCAGTTGTCAAAAAATAACAATATAAATGACGTAACTACTACGTAACTACTCCAAAATGTATATGTATACATTCACTTTTTAAGCTGGTTTCATTTTATACGAGGTTAACTCAGAAAGTGTGTTATTAATTCATTAATTGTAGTTTTAAATACTATCATTGAAAGTGGAGTATTTATTTTAAAAATTTAAACGACCTGACGGACGAATCACAAACATTTTACTGTGAATGATCCATTAGATCGATGGTTCAAACCCTGATCAGAAAACAAAACGACTAATATAGTAAATGGATCTGCTATTTTGATAATAATACGTTGGAGTATCAGATGGATCTATGCATCAACACCACGGTAACAGACGGGAACTTGCGGATCTGTGGTACTTGCTCAAAAAAAATGTACAATACTGTGCGAATTAATGCAATCATAGGCTGTTTTATTGAAAAAAACAGTTTATTTTGAAAAAAAAGTATATTTTGGCAAAACTCTAAAGGTAAACTTACATCATTTAGTAGGAAATATGTCCCCCTTTGGCTGCAATTACTGCTTTTACTCGTAATGGCATAGATTTTACGAGCTTCTAACGGTTCCCAGATATCCTTTCATCTCGAAACCAAACCTGAATGACCGTTTCTATTATTTTTATCTTTGTAGTACAATCGATTTTGCGCAGTCTAGCTTTGCAAGTGGTCCATAAGTTTTCAATGGTGTTGAAGTCTGGAGAATTACCGGGCCAATCTAGAACAAAAATCTTAGTTTTGAAACATTCCATCATTTGCTTTGACTTGTGACAAGGAGCAAAGTCCTGTCGAAGAATCGCTCCTCTTTGGGTCTGATATTTTTGGAGTTCTGTGTCCAAACGCTGTTCCAACATGGATTTGTATTTTTGGCTGTTCACTATGCCTTCGGTTCCTCAAACCGAATTCCGGTTCTGTCTTCTGGTTTATATTTATATTCCGTATTTGTTAGGATGCAATATTTGTTCTTTTAGTGATGTAAAATTATTCGTTTATATGGCAAAATTTCTATAAATTACTGGCAAACAATCAGTGTAAAATTCTAAAATATTTTACAATAATTCTGCGTTGTTTTAACAGCATGGTATATTATTTTAAACCCCACTTATTAATATACATACATTGTAAAATAAAATATAGAATTTTCTATTTTCAAAAGCTGTAATATTTTTAATTTATTTGAAATAAAGGTAAATAAATTTGTTGGGGACATTATAATATGTGTGAAATAATTGTTATTTAAATTAGTAAATATGGTTTCGGCAGTATAACAATACACAAAGGCACATGTAAATATGTAAAATAAAGTTGGCAAAAACGCATTCGTTCTTTTCAATAATATTTTAAAATTATTAGAAGAAACAATAGAAAGTAAAGAAAAAATACTAAGTATTATAAAAAAAATGAATGTTTGGGTAGAGTTAAAGAGAAAGACGAATAAAAGAAAAAAATGACTTTAAATAAACCAAGAAAAAATTTATATGATAGAAAGGGTAAAATAAAAGCAAGCACATTCCGTAAGAGGCAGCAGTTTTATCCCGATCTCATATAATCTGAATTCTGTCATATCTACCAACTTCAGTGCTTTCAGTTGCTTTTTCAGTTGTCCTGTACGTATTTCTGTTAAAATACGTAGCCCTTTCCTGTTTAAATTCTCGCAAAATCGCTAGAAAGATCTTTCGTGAACAAAAGTTTTTCGTGAAGTCCAAAATATGTGGATTTTTAAGAAAATCCCTTGTAGGACTATTTTTTTACAGCTCTATTATTTTGTCCAGTATTTTTTGTGGTTGCCAATTGTTTCGGTGAAACACCAAACTGTGGATAATTTTTGAGCAGTATGACTATTGCCAAATGTGGTCAACGATGGATTGTTTTCTGGTAATTTTTTGTCTGGTTCACTTCTGGTGTTTTTTTTTCTTCGGACTAGACACCTTAAACAGTTTTCGGTTTTTCGTCTATCCTTTCAGTCCTTTCTCTTTTAGATATTGAACTCGGTTCTTACTTTTTTTGAAGCTGTCTGTTATAAACCCGTTTTAGTGGAACATTGAGATCGATCCCGATTTGGGGCAGTTTTTCCAATATTTGTACTCTACTTATCAATAAATTATATTTATTTTTCCATCATCGATCGAGAAAAAAGGACAAAGGGCTTTCTAATCATATATATCTGCTTTTAAATTAAATTTTTATGCTGCAAAAAGAAAACAATTTCAAAAGAAAATGTCAACATTTTTGTTTATTTCGCCCTATTTTTCTATTAGATAACGAGAACTACAATATCTTTCCACATTTATTAATTTAGAATTATAATTTACAAACAAATACGCTGAAATGACATTTAATCATCATTATGTATCACATACAATCGATTTTTATCTCTAATATCTTGTTTCTTTCAATTACAGGAGTCATTCAGCTAACAAGAAGTTATGATAAATAACGACTACGATTACGATCTAGGAAATGGCTCAAACGTTACGTACGATACCAACAATCTCAATTTCAACTGGAATGAACTACTACCAACGTTAATTGTCTATGGAGTCACTTTTATTTTAGGTCTTACCGGCAATATCCTTATAATTTTTACAACGTTTCGATATCGACGTATGAAAAGTGTGACTAACGTTTTTCTTTCCAGTTTGGCATCATCTGATCTTATTTTGATCATTGTTTGCATTCCAGTAAAGGTAAGCCTTATACTTATCATAACATTTTATTGTGGAAATTGTTTTACTAGTAGAAACTGACTCGACTTAAAACAAATGACGTCACTTGACCTAGATGGATTCCTTAGTGTACAAAATAATTGTTAATAATAAAATCGATCTAAATCGCCTTGAGGCTTTTAAAATGTGGTGCTATAGAAGAATTTTAAAAGTTTCCTGGGTGGAGAAGATTCGAAACTCCACAATACTAGAACATCTCAGCAAGACTACTGAGATCATCAAAAATATCAAGCAGAGAAAGCTGGAATATTTCGGACATGTAATGAGAGGTCCCGAATATAGGTTGCTACAAAATATCATGCAAGGAAAAATAGCAGACAAACGCAGTCCAGGACGAAGAAGAACCTCATGGTTGAAGAACTTGCGAGATTGGTATGGTGTTGACACAAGCATGCTATTTAGGGTGGCAGTGAATAAAATTAAGATAGCTATGATGGCAACCAACATTCTGAAAGGACATGGTACATGAAGAAGAAGACACTCTATTGTCATTCACCGGTCTATAGATTCGCCTTAGTACTTTTCTTTCGAAACATCCTAAGATGTTAGGACTGGGTGTATTATTGTTTTGCAGAGTTTTAACTTTGTATGTATATAGCTTTAACAGGCCTTTTAGGTCCATTGCTGGATGGATAATTTTCATCGTTTTCTGTACTTAGCTGTCAGCTTCCAGTCTCTGATTCCCATCTCTCTGACATCTTCCATCACTACATCTCTTCATTTCTTTCTTGGTCTTTCTCTCTTTTTTTTTTCGAGGAGATTTAGAGGAGGCCCTGGAGTTTATTCCTTTTTTGCTTCAGAGTTCCATGTCCTACTTGGATTTATTTATATCAAGTTTTACTCCTATTTTAGAGCTTTCCCGAATCTTTTTGCCATGCTTACCAGTTATTTTCCACTTCTTTCAATGAGAACCACATCACCAAGGTACGCTAAACATTTGTGTTCTTTGTAGAAAGGAGTGTCGGACCTATTTATCCCGCTAACCCTTACAATTGTTTCTAGAACTATATTGAATAGCAAGGTAGACAATAGGTATTCTTGGCGAACTCCTTTTTTCACTTCAAATTCTTTTGAGACTATACCATTGCATTTCACAGTACAAATGGTTTTTATAATTGTCATTTTTACTAATCTTACTATTTTTGCTGGTACTTGGAATTCTTTTAGCGTTTCTATTAATTTGTTTCTGTCTATTGTATCGTAGGCGGCCTTGTAATCAGTGAAAAGTACTTGTGCTTAAATATTGTATTCATAGCAATTGATCAGGATGTTTTAGCATAAAAATTTGATCGGTTGTTGATCTTCCCTTGCAGAATCCTCCCTGGTATTTTCCTAGATTCTTCTCCAGATATATTTTAATCATTTTTTAAATAGTATGGCCAGCACTTTGTATATTATCTCTAATAAGGATATTTCCCTATAGTTTGCGCATTCAGTTTTATCTCCCTTTTTGTCTATAGGAATTATAATGGACTTGTTCCATTCTTGATACATTTATTCGGCATCCCACATTTCTACTATTAGCTCACGAAGTTTGTTTCATAAAGCCTCTCGTTCATATTTTAAGCTGACTGCCACAATGACGCTCTCCAGGGGCTTTTTCGATTTTTCATCTCTTTAATTATTTCTTTAATTTCTTCTCTTTTGGGCTTTGGTATTTCTTCAACCATTTTTTGGGGTTTAGAAATACATATTATAATTTTCTTCAGTAGTCACTCCGCTATTTAGCATCACTTCGAAATATTCTTTTCATCTTTCACATATTTGGTCATGATAATGGTATAGTTGCTATAAATAAGTAACATTATCATCTTACAGAGGATGTATCAATATAGTCTCTTGAGGGCTTGAAGATAGTAGCCCATTCTTTTTTCAACTTTAATAAAACCTATTACGGACTGCGAATAGAAGACTTGTTTCCCTAACATTCATGAATATGTGCTCACATTAGCAATACTTTCATCATTAGTTTTTACTTAATAAAAAATTCTAACGAATAGATAACTTTTTTCAATTTAAAAATATAACTTATCTGTGGCAAATAAGTACATGGCGATGTCAACAGGTAAAAAGTATTCGATACGTATGTAACAGTATGACGTAAGCATTTAGGTGGATGCCAGGGAAAAATATTTATCATTATCTTTACATTAACATTTAGAGTTCATTATCACCTCTATAGTAAGCAAATATCGAACACATGTTTTAAGTTTGCCATAATACTTAAGTCGGCAAACAGATACAATGATCAAAAGCTAGAATCTGCATCCTAACACATTGATATCTTATCAATAAAGTATCAATTAGGACGGTTCACCTTTTTAATGACCCATATAACACTGTTATCAATTTCAAAGTTATCATTTGAAGCAAAATGTTGCCATTAATAATGCAACGATTAATTTAGGGGATTATAACTACTTTGCAATTTGTTGATTGGATTATAACAATTAAGCTTGAGGCTTAACCAATTAATTATCATAAGTTTTCTCTTAATCTCGTTTAAAAACTAATAGGAGTTTTGAAAAGCTTGATTTGAAAACAATTAAGTCGATTTTAATTGTTGTTCCTGCTTCTTTATTGATATTTTTTATTACTTTAGTTTATCTATGGTTTACTTGGTCTTTTTTGGTGTACAGTGCTCTATGCTATCAAAAAATTTCTCGTAGTCGATAAATATAAAAAGGGATAAATGGTATTCATTGGCTTTTTCAATTAGAATTTTAATTGTTAGTAACTGATCGTTTATACTAAATCCTTCAACCTGCTACTAAAACTAAGCGTCAAAAATATCGTCATCATTGTCAAAAAAGTGTTCAGGTGGAAGAAAAATGGTATAAGTAGCAAAATTTCAAAAATCGTATCTTGGATACTGTGAATCCTAAAGACTTCTAACAAATGTCATTTTGAAGAAGAAGGATAAAAGTTTTTTCTGTAAGGCAATACCTATACCTATAAGCCCGTGGAAAACAGTTATGGGGCAAAAAAAAGATTGAGTGTGTTCCTGTTTTTTTTGTTTCGTTTTTTGAATATATTTTTGTCAAAAAAAAACAATTTTTAACTTTAAAAATTGACATTTCACTGGGAAATTCAATTTTGAACAACTTTTCTGTAAATTTATATATACAAAAAGTGCATAGAATTCACCCACATGCACCCTAGTGCATATGGACAAATGCATCCCTTTATCAAAAGCGCACCCCTTTAAATGGTAGCACTCCGCAGTTTTTTCATATTTGGTGGTCTATTGTCCTTGAGCATTGTAGTTCCTTTCCAAAGTGCATAATCCATAGCCTATAATAAACCATTAAACAAGAAACTTGTTGTTATTTAATTTTTGTCGATTTTCTCTAATTAAAAAAATATAATCCTTGTTTTAGTGAGTTAAACTAAGCATCAAAGCATCGATATTCTATGTTTAAACTCAATACTGTTACATTAATTAAAGTAAAACGAAACAGTGGCAAAACTATCTTCCAAAAGCACTTAGCTCTTTTTATCTAAGCTTTTTAATAGGTAAACACCAACTTGTTTACGCTACTGCATTATTCCTCGTGACGATTTGTTAGAAGTTTTCTTAAACAAAATACAACAAATTCGTCCTTCATACTATTTTAAAGCAAAAAACTAGAGTGTTTATTGCTTGTATAAAATTTTCAATAAAATCGAAGATGCAGCGTAAAAGTTCGAGATGAAAACATCACATTATCTAGGTTAGTGGGTAAGATTTTAGTAAAATCAATGTTAGTTAAATAGTGTGCTTTTTAAGATACTTTCTGTGTTTATATATAAATAGATTATTTTTAAGTATTATAACGATGGTAAGAGTAATGATACAGTTATTGTAATTGGCGATTGGTTGTAGACAATAAAACAATTCTACCACTGCCACATGGCCTTTTATAATGCGTTGCAGTCACAGACGAAATATCAGATATAAATAATGCCAGTCATTTGTCCAACAAAATGGGAATTAAATGATAATAAGTAATAAGATATCCAACGGAATCTAACTTATTTACACTATCCACACGTCTTTGTTATAATAATTATTATATTGGTATTCAAGAACAATTTGATAGTTATTCTATTAAAGAACTCTGACATGAAGAATTATTTATAATTAAGCTAATTAGGTGCTTCTGTGCATAAAATCATAATAGTTGACTTTTTTGCAAAACAATTTTGATTTTGACACGTTTTGTATACCTCTTCTTCTTAGTACTAGAGAGTGTTGTACCTTTGGGCAAATTTCATGTCGTTTGGCTCAAAATGTTTAAAAATTGCTTTATAGTGACCATTGAAGCATACAGAACTAGATACAACCTTTATCTATAAATGACGAAATAGAGGTCTATGGATTCGTTTCAGTTACTTTAGTTAAAAATTTTGAAATTCTTTTGACAGGTCGTCCAAAGGTACGACACTATGTTGTACCTTTGTCTACATTATGTTCTACCTATGGTCAGAGAACAAATTATCTTCGATTAAGAAGAAACAACACAAACGAACGGAATCTTATTTATTACATGAATTATAAGATGACAAACATGATTAGTTTACATTGTATGTATCAAATTTAACATTAAAGGACATCATATTTTGTTGACGTGATGTTTCAACCAAATCTGGTGAAGGCAATTTTTTTATTATGTCGCCTTCGGAGACACAAGAGACTTTTTCATCTGAATAAACAAATTTATTGTTTCCAATAACTGTTTTTAAATATTTGACCATGCGTATTCGTCATCTAAAACCTCAACTATCTTGGCAACTTAGTGTGCAATATTCTTTTTACTGGCCAATTTTACGAGAACAAAATCACCTTCTTTTAACTTAGAAGAGCTCAGTATTTCTTCATTTTCCTGTTGCTCTAATGAATCATTTTCATTTTCGTTTGCCAGAAAAGTTTCTAAATCCTCGTCACTTGAATCCTTTGTTATATTTTTAATCTCTTCATC